CCATGATTAACACCCTCCACAATAAAAATGGTTAATCAACCTCTCATAATTACAAAAAAATGAACAAAATGAAAAATTATGATTGGTTGAATGAGGTTTTCACGGTTTGTACAAATTGAGTGGTTCTTATTTGAACGCTCCTATATATATATATATATATATATATATATATATATATATGACACTTCTCAAAAGTATAATGTAAAAAAATAAATACCACGTTTTATTTTAAAAATATCTAAAAAAATCTTGTTAAAACACTCAAAAGCTTCATATATGAACTTATATACAACGCTTTTACATCAAAATCACAATTATTTGGTTATACAGAACAGTTTATTAAGATATTTAAACCTACAAACTCAATATTATTATAGTAATTGTATCAAAGGAATGGTATTTTAGTTTTAAAAATAATTTTCTTACAATAAAAATCTAAATAAAACTTATTTCATCATAATAAATACAATTCATTATAAGGTTGGATTCTAATGAGAAGGAAAGGTAAGATGAAAAGCGTAAGAATGAATTTCCACTCTTGAATACACATAAGGACGAGATGCACCGGTGTATCAATCCCTTATCAAACATATTTCATAGATAGATTTAGATTAAAAATGATCAAAGATCTGAATCTTTTCTTACACTTCTCACATTAACTGTGTGTTGACTATTCATTATATATAAAAAAACATGTAAATAAGTTAGGTGAATTCCAACTTTAAAAGATACTAAGACATGAAGAAACAAACTTAGAAGTCTGACTTGTTTTTCTTCTCAAATACCTTCATTTCATTATCATTAAATGCTCTCATGACATTTTTACCCTTCTTCCTCCCTTTAAAACCCTTCCACCCTTCACTTTCTTCCACCATTTCCAAACCAACCCAATAGCCATGGACACCACCACCCCATCAACCCTTCACATCCAAAACGAGCTCAATCACAAGAACCTCGATGACGATGGTCGCCCAAAACGAACTGGTAAGATTAAGCATATATATACATACATATAACTCAAATTAGTAATGAGTGAATGAATTAATCTCCTGGTGCGTGCAGGTACTTGGTTAACTGCAAGTGCTCACATTATAACTGCTGTTATTGGTTCTGGAGTGTTGTCACTTGCATGGGCCATAGCTCAGCTTGGTTGGATCGCTGGTCCGGCAGTTCTGATGACGTTTTCCTTCATTACTTACTTCACTTCAACCCTTCTTGCCGACGCCTATCGTGCACCAGATCCTGTTACAGGGAAACGTAACTATACCTATATGGATGTGGTTCAAGCCAGTCTAGGTGCAACTTCATTAAAATCTTTAATTTCCATAGATTCTTTTTTCTTTTTTAAGGGTTTCTGACCAAAGGGTAGAACCGTCTTTTCACCCTCCCAAACAGGTGGTAGAAAGGTGCAACTGTGTGGGATTGCACAGTATGTGAATCTTGTGGGAGTTACAATTGGATACACGATCACAGCTTCTATAAGTATAGTGTAAGACCGGAGTTTCATGTTTTAAAACATGTATTTTTTTAAATTTTCAAGGGTTTTTTTTGTGTGTGTTTATTTTGAATTTAAGATGTGTTTGGTTAATTTCTTTTTTCTTTTTTGTTTGAATTAATTTTGTAGGGCGGTGAAGAAATCGAATTGTTATCATGAGCGTGGACACGAGGCCGACTGCAAACAATCGGATTATCCGTACATGATTTTGTTTGCGATAATTCAGATATTGTTAAGTCAGATACCAAATTTTCACAACTTGTCGTGGCTATCGATATTGGCTGCTGTGATGTCTTTTTCTTACTCTCTTATCGGACTCGGCCTTTCCATTGCAAAAGTTGCCGGTAACTCTTTATTTTACGTAAAAACCATATATGAAAACAAAATATTCCGTCACTAGCTAGTATGTATACTTATATTTATGAACGACCACTTTTTGATACGTTTTCGCATGTATTTTTTGCTAAAGCGAAGGTGATCATAACTAGGAAGCAAAAAATTCAATGAGAATCAAAAAAACATCGAGAATTGTGAATCTGATTTCATATTTATCGTTTCACACATAAAACATACAAATGTTGTTTCATATGTGAATAAAACTCATTACTCATTTAATGATTAAAACTAATTCCCACAAATTTCAAACATTTTTATTGTTTTTATTTGATTTCACCTCTATAAAACCCTTAAAAACAAATAAAATAAAATGAATAAACGTTTAAATTTCTTAAAACATTTGCAATTTACCGGTTTAAAGGGGTGTTTGAGACTGCTTATAAAAATAACTTATTGACTTATTCCGGTGTGATACCGGTAATAAACACTTTTGAATGTTTGGATAAACAACTTATACCGGTGTCAAACTCTAATAAGAAGTTTTTAAAAAGTTTAATCATTCTAACTTATAATAAGATGATAAACACTTTGATAAAAAAAAAACGTAAGTTGTTTCTAATAAGCAATCCCAAACACCCCCTAATATTACAAAATCAATCTTAATTTACTTATGGTTGACGGATCCAATTTTAACTATATTTATTGATATGCAAACCTGGTTAAAAGATTAAAAAAAAGTCAAATTCAACTAAGCAATTGCATATCTGTGTTGAATTTAATTTTTTTTTTGATCTTTAGCTAGATCTGTAATACTGTAAACCTAGATATTGCAGAAGTAGTGACATTTGAATCAACCTAATCCAAAAAAATTGGTTAGAATTCCAATTTAAGTATTCAATAATAAATGAATTGGATGAATAGGAGGAGGAGGGCATTCAAGGACTCGGCTAACAGGAGTGGAAGTAGGGGTAGACGTGTCGGGTTCAGAGAAGGTCTGGAGAACGTTTCAAGCCATTGGAGACATTGCTTTCGCTTATGCTTTCTCGACTGTTCTTATCGAAATCCAGGTTCTTACATTTATTTATATTGCTTTTCCTTTATTTTATTTTATTGATTATTAATTAGTAGTCTTTTTATTTTTATTAATTAAAATGATATATAAATGTTTTTAATATATATATATATATATATATATATGATAATACACATGAGATGTCAAAATCACACATTGCACTATTGACAGCTGTTGAAATGTCTTTATCTACTTCGTATCTTGGGGCTTTTTCGAGGAAAAAAAATTAAAAATTAAATTAAATAAAACTGAATTTTTTATTTTAGAAAATTTCAATATCAACACATTCTCTATGTCAAATACCCAAATTACGAAGCAAGCCCAAAACCTTCTACATATGTCAAAATCAGCCCTTTAAGTTAAAAGAATGTCAATATCATCCAGAGATCTAGATCCCATGTGCATCAATGACGACAATCCTTCACACCAAACCTTTTAAAACACGTCATTTATTTGATCACATTACTATATACGTAACTGATGACACCTTATCAATGATGAGGGTTGTATCGAAACTTCCCTCTCTTATGTATCACGTACATTTTACACCCTTATAATTAATTATTTAATTTATTTTATATATTTTTTTTTATTTTACACCATTAACATATTTATCATATATTAACTAAAATATATTAAAAAAATACATTTCATTTTTTACAAATTAAATCATTATAATCATCTCATCAGTGCCTTCGAAATGAGTCCAATATTGAATTTTTTTCAATTTAATCTCATATTATTAAATAACATAAATAAGTAGTGAATTATTTTTAAAACTTTCATTTTATACCTTATAGTTATTGTATTTTATTTGTTTTATATTTCTTACTTTTTTTATTTCTATTTTACACAATTTATTTACAAATTTAAAGTTGTAGAACATATAACTTTAAATCTCACATCTCAAGATAATATAAAAGATAAAAAAAATTAAATTGCAATTGATAATCTTATAATAGGTTATAGAATTTATTTCATACCACTAATTTTTCCATTTTTTATTTTATATTTTTGTCATATTAAAATAAATAATCGTATATGAACTAAAATTTTATTAAGAAATATTTTTTTTTTCAAATTATATAATTATAATCTTGTCATCAACACCTTTAAAATAAATCAATATTGAATATTTTAAATTTTATCATGTTATTAAATAGCATAAATATATAGTGAGTTATTTTAGAACTTATATTTAATTTTTTTTATTTCCTAATTTACACTGTTATCTATTTATACTATCTATATTATATTGTAAAATATGTTAAACGGTTATTATTGAATTTTTAAGAGGTATAAATTTTGATCAATTATGTATAAATATTGAACCTTTAATTACAACCTCCACGTTCAACATGATAATTAAAAATAAAATTATTTTTTATTATTAAATTACACTTTATACCTTTATAATTAGTTATATAATTTAATTTATCTCTTTTTTTTTCCTATTTTTATTTTACACATTCTCATATTAACATATGTAACTATATATTAACAAAAATATATTTTGAAAACGTTTATTTTTTATAAATTATACTATTATAATCGGTTCTTCAATACCTTCAAAATAAATCAAATATTGAATATTATTGAATTTAATAATATTATTAAATATGATAAATAAATATTGACGTTTTTAGTATCTTAATTTGTTTATTTTTTATTTTATATTTTACACTCTTATCTATCTATAATATATTATTTATTATTGTTGTTGAATTTTAACTGTCACCTATGCATTATTTACAAGCTTTTAAAGCCCCCACTCTATCATCCCCATCTTTTCCTTTTTTTCTGACATTATAAAGTCGTACTATCTACAATATTCGTTCATCAACTATTTTATGTTTTCAAAACCCGGTGTATGTTAAAGAGGCTAATCTAGCATTTAATAGATTGCTTAAACTTACAAAGTAATTTCAATATTCAATACATCATGTCTTTTTATATAGTTCAATTTTGATAAGTTCGTTTTATAGTTTTTTCTTGTTTGAAAAGTATATACGATGATATTTTTAATATTTACAAATACCATTGATCTTTCAAAGATAGAATGAAGACTGAAGTTGTGAAAACTTCTTTTGAGATTTAAAGATGAACTATTTCTTAAAAAAAGAAAACCCTATTTGATGATAGATGCTTTTTATAGGCTTCAACCTTCATATTTCTCGTTTAGTTATCAAAATATCATTTTATTTACAACCAATATCATAATTTAAAGGATAAAATATTTTATAATTTTTTATTTATAAGAAAGTTTTATATTTAAATGCATTATATATATATATATATATATATATATATATGGTTTATATTTTGGAATTTATGAGATTATAAAAAAGCATGTACGTGTTTTTGATTCCTGATGGCGACAAAAGTTTGTTGATTTTGGACTGAGGGTAAAATGCAGGGAGAAAAAGTTAGATTCTTGTGGACCATTAATTCATGGACTTGAAACAATCATAATTTTAGGCCACCAAATGTGTTTGGAGTATTCGAAGAAGTTGGGACATAGGGGTTAGGGGGTAGGCCTTAGGGTAGACAAGGTGAAAAACCAACCTTTTTGGAAAAAAGATGTATATTTGTTGAATTTTATGCCTCACAATTAAGATTATATTTATATATTATAAAATATTTTATAAAAATCATTTTTTATGTATCAAATACTGTTTAGTGATGTTACTTAAAATTCAAGATTACAAATAAATTATGTGTATGTAAAACTTATTAAAGCTTTATATTCGAATTCGTATAACTAATTGTATATAAATATAATTAAATATTGAATATCTCATTTTATATGATTTCAATAATTAATGTGAGGTAACATCGCATATTTGTTAACATGATTAATTCCAAACCGAAATTATTTGATTTGATTGAGAAAAATAATTCAAAACCCATTAATTTAATTTGCTAACACAATTTACATAAAATATGGTTCTATCTTTTGTTAAATTTGTGTTTTGAAGGATTTGTATTTATAATCAATAATATGAATGTCTTCATTTTAGGAAACTACTTGGTGTCTGAATCATAAAGAATGTAAATTGTTTTTGTCTGAATGGTCACATATGAGTTGGCCGAGGGCATATGCATGTGCTTTAGAATTGGCAGATTCATTTATATAAGATTTGGTTCAAACCTTATTTAGGTTTAGTGTCACCAAAACCATATAATAAAAACGAAACATATTAAAATATGTATGATTCGGTATATATATATATATATATATATATATAGAGAGAGAGAGAGAGAGAGAGAGAGGGGTGTCAAAAAAATGAAAACAAAAAAACACTAGTAACCATATGTGAAGTTATTTTTGGGTTTTTATGCATGCGTGTATGTTGTGCACATGTGCATATCAGACAAATTGCTTAAATTATCGGTATGCACATGTGTATGCTGTCAAGATGAACACTTACTAGGGTGTTCCTCATTTTTTCATATTTTTACGGTTTTCCCCTGACCCTATATATATATATATATATATATATATAATATACACACATATATTACTAAACTTAATGTAGTTTTGAATTATTTCGAATACAGGACACATTGAAATCGTATCCATCGGAAAACAAGGCCATGAAACGGGCATCGCTTGTTGGAATTTTGACGACGACTTTGTTTTATGTCCTTTGCGGATGTGTTGGTTATGCAGCATTTGGAAACGATGCACCAGGCAACTTCTTGACCGGGTTCGGTTTCTTCGAACCTTTTTGGCTCATCGACTTCGCCAATGTTTGCATTGCCATCCACCTTATTGGTGCATATCAGGTCAAATGCATCATTTTCTTTTCCAAAAAAATTAAAAATCCATACAGTTCCGTTACTGAAAAATTAAAGTAAAACCCGCAGGTCTTCTGTCAACCAATATTCGGTTTTGTCGAGATGAAGTGTAAGCAACGATGGCCCGAGAGCAAGTTTATAACGAGGGAACACGTTGTTAATGTGCCATTTCATGGAGAATACTGTGTTAACATGTTTCGGTTGGTGTGGAGGACACTGTATGTGATGTTAACTGCGTTGATAGCGATGATTTTCCCCTTTTTCAATAGCTTTTTAGGGTTGATAGGGGCAGGTTCATTTTACCCTTTGACAGTTTACTTCCCAATAGAGATGTATATCGCTAGGGCTAAGATTCCAAGGTTTTCATTCACTTGGGTGTGGCTAAAGATCCTGACTTGGTCTTGTTTAGTAGTGTCTTTGGTCGCGGCTGCGGGATCGGTGCAGGGACTCGTGACTGATCTCAAGAAATATCAACCGTTCAAAACAGAATAGAATCATAAACAATACGTGAAACATATTACTAGCAGTTGTTTTTGTTATGCAACTTGTACAAGAACTTGCTTGATGCTAACGGTAATGCGTAGTTGGTTGTCTTCGCATTCTTATTGCATTTTGTGCACTTGTCGTCATGATTCTTCCGATGGATTGTTATGGTTATCACCAAAGGAGACCCTTGGGGTTCACCACCTTCCTTTACTATTGCAACGCTTCATTTGAACTCGTAATATATACTTGGCATCGACGCCAATGGTGGTATTACCAACAAACCATGTCACCAAGATAACCTCTTTCTTTGGGTCATTGGCACAGAAGGTGAAGAGTGTCTGCAAGTATTTGCGGTATTGTGAGTTATGATCATATTCACAGAACATATTATGGTCCAAGTACCATGAAGTGAAAATGGCAACATTCCATAATTGTCATGCATGCGGATTACGGTTTGCCACGTCAAACATCCACCGGAGATGACGATTTTAGTTAACAATTTTACCACCAGTAAACACTCGTTACGCTTGTGTTGTGAGCACTAGAATTACGAAAAGTCACATATATCAGATGCTGGCATAAATACTAAAAAAATTTAATAAAGAAATAATATATATATATATATATATATATATATATAATTATAAGGTTGAAAAACTCAACAACCTACTAAATATGTGTAGTATGAGAAGAGCAGGCAAATCTTGAATCTAACATATTCTCCCCTAGCTAGTACCACTCATACCTTCAAATAAACAGCAAAAACATTCTGCATTCTTCCGTAGATGATTATCAAGAACCTTCACTCTCGCTAATCACAAAAGCTTGAATAAGGGACTGTGCAGCATGAGCCTGCTCAGGTGTGCCGGATATTATGATCAAAGTTTCTTTTGCTCCAGGTTTCGGGTCGGTTATGGTGATTTTCGCATCAGAGATCTGAAACAGCCAAATCAGTTAACTGTAAGATAAAATTCAAAACATTCAACTTTTCACATATTTTTACAAAAATCCATCAGTTGAAGACTATAAATTATAGGCAAGGGCTTGTTTGTTAGCAGTTTAATGGGACTCGCAGCTTATTCGGTCAGCTATGCATGACTTTTTGGCAGTGGCTTATTCAGTAGGGTTCTAGGGTGTAGAAAGCCAAGTCTTTCCAAGTTAAAAAAACACTCCTTCCATCCATAAAAAACCTTCAGAATCTAATCTATACATGCATATTAATCCACAAAGACAACTGTATCCATTCAAGACTTCATGGAAAACTAACCAAACGGCCCGTAACTCATCATACTTCAAATTAAAAACTTATAACTGTGCCTACGATTTGTTTCTAAATTCATCGAAAAGGTCAATTATTTTACTAATCAGCATGCAGGGTCTAATGTTGCAATACCTATGGGACCAGAAGAAAAAAGTACCAAAAATGAGTTGTTTAAGTGCATAGAACTAGCGGTATATGTCCTACTCTCTACTCTCATAGCGCTAGTACACAGTAGGACACATACCATGCCACTTCTAAAACTATAGCTTCAGAGATGGTGTCTCTTGGCAATAAGGCGGTGAAAATGTTAATCGAAATACAACGAACACCAAACAGACCAGATGGATTATAAGCAAATTTTAGATTGACTTGTATGAAGAGTAAATTAAAGATTTGGACCATATGGTTTACACTTTCTACACACATTGGTCCCAAAATCATACTCCTGGTTGACATTTTCACACCTGTTGAGTTCCTCCCTGGCTCCCTCTAACGAAATCAAAAAGATTCTGTTAACCCAGTTAATTTCACATTTTTATCTTTATTCTATTTTGTTTTTTATGTATGTATATATTTATATATATACAAGAACACCTGTATATACTCAAGGACACTATGAACATCTATGAATTCAAGACCACCTATATATATATATATACATATATATATATATATATATATATTCAAGAACACATTTGAACACCTATGAATACAAGAACACCTGTATATATTCAATAACACTGAACATTTGGGGCCCATTCAAGGGAAAATTGATTACTTTGTGGTAACCGTGAGATCAAATGTTAACCACTCGTTTAAGATATTTGAGGATATTTCTTAAATAAGCTAAAAGGGTAATATAGTAATTCTATTTTTGACAACTAATGAAAAATATTTAATTAAATTTTTTAGAAGGTTATATTTAATTAAAATTAGTTACCTAGTATATCAATTACCTAATATACATCGTATTTTAAAGGCATTTGTGAATCAAATAGTGATAACGTTCACAACGTTTCACGTGTATCACAATGTATTTTCTTTGTTTTATGAAATGTATCAAGTGTGCATTTTCGTTATTTTCATTGCTTTACAAAGGGTATCACATTGTGCATCTTGTATGTATATCTGGGTATCACAGTGAATACCGTTTGTAGGTATCACAGTGTGTATCTTGTGTTCACATAAGATTCATCGGAATAAGGTTCGCCGAATAAGATTCACCGGAGAGAGAAGAGAGGAGAGAGGAAAGAGGGAGGAGAGAGGATATTTATAAAATCCCTAATGTGCCCTTAATTAATATTTTAAGTCAAAATTACCAAAATTATTAATTTCTTAATTTAACCTTAGATTTGTGGTTGGGATTGGATCTCACGGTTACAACAAACAAAACAGTTCTCATTTGATTAGGCCCCTATATATTCAAGAACACATATTTGAATACCTATGAATACAACACCTGTATATATTCAAGAACACTATGAACATTTTCATGAATACAAGAACCACCTTAAATAGCACAAGAACATCAATGAGCATTAATAACACGTTGACAATTTTGCTCAAATTCATCCAAAATCTTGTGATACAGATCCATACAAATCAAAGACCTATATTGAATTAAAAAACAAACACTAAATCATAATTAGACAGAACCCCCGTACCATAAATGAAATCAAAATCCGGGTACAAACCCAGAAATTGGATCACACGTTCAAACCCAAAATCAAAACCGGGAATGGAACCTAGAAACGGAAAAAGAAGGATTCAAATCCAAAATCGAAACTCAGATTTAAACCTAAAAACAAAACCGGAAAAAGCTTCACACCCAAAATCGAAATCTAAACACAGGTTCAAACCCATATTCCAGCCTAAAAACGAACCCGAAAGCTACGAGATGCTTGGACCGTTAAACCCATAAACGAGATGCTTGGACTATGAATCAAAACCCAAAAATTCGGTAAACTAGACCCCCAGGTCGAGGAAGAGCTGTTGTCTGTGGCATTCCTATTTGGTCAAAGTTGTGAAAGCACCTTGTACACCATGAAGCAGAGTGTTGTTTGGTGTTGATTTCTTCTTCTGAAGAGAGTGCAGCTCATAGATAACCTGTGATTTCACCATCGTTGCACCATCAGCTTAATTTATCTCGCTCTGTCCCTTATGCATTTGTATATTTGGCAGTCGCTTCTACCGATTGACACTCCATTACCTTTTCCGATCACATTTCCATTTCCGTTTGATGCCATCTCCTATCTCTTCTTGAATACTTTCACATTCATAAAAAAGGTGGTGAGGTCTTTGAATCAAGATGAGAAGATGAGGCGACGTAGGTTGGAGTAGTAGGTGAAGAATGAAGATAAACAGACGTCCCTATAGGTGTATATATGTATAATGTATGTAATGCTTTATATATATACATATATATATATATATGTATATATATATATATCTTTTCTTAATTTTTAACAAGGTAACAACAAAAAATGTGAGAAGACTAAAATACCCTTAGGGAGCGTTTGGTTATGGAATTGGAGTGTTGAATTCCATTGACCAAATTCCTTTCCCTCGTTTGGTTCATTCTTTTTCACGAAAAGAATCTTCAAAATCCTACAAATTCCACAAATAAAAGAATTTAACATTCCATAACAACTACATGGTATTTTGATTGAATGAAATTCTCTATTTTTATAATACTTAATATGCCCTTAATCCAATATACCCTAATCTCATAAAACCCAATATGACCATCGTCGACCACATTCGACCTGAATCACCGCTAACCACCGCTATCTGACCAATGCTGACCATCGCCATCTGAACCACCGTCGACCACCACCGATCTAAACCACCGTCGACCACCACCGATCTAAACCACCGTCGACCACCACCGATCTAAACTACCGCTGATCTGAACCACCATGGACCACCACCAATCTGAACCACTGTCGACCATCGCCATTTGAACAACCAGAGACCACCACCGATCTGAACCACAGCCAACTATTATCGATCTAAATCACACCGGCCACCGCCAACCATCACCGATCTGAACCACATCCGACCACCGCCACGTGAAGCACCATGAACCACCACCGATTTGAATCATTGCCAACTACCACCGGTCTGAATCACACTGCCGGCCACCAACGATTTGAATAACCACCGATCTGACCCACCGTCGCCACCGCCGATCTGAACCATCATCCATCTGAACAACCGCAGATCACCATCCATCTGCCGACCACCGCCATCTGAACCACCTGCGGACCACCACCGTGTAGACCACCACCGATCTGAACGACCGCCGACCAACCATTGATTTAGTAATGTCGTTTCGCTTATGGTTATATTGGGGTTGTGTATTTTATATTGTTTTACATATTAAATAATTATTTTATTAAAGTATTTTTAGTTTTAAAAAAATTAAAATTTTCAAAAAGGGCATTTTGGTCATTTATCAATTTTTCATTCCAATTCCAAAGTTACAATCTGTGAACCAAACAAACAGATTCCATTCTAATGTCTGCCAACCAACGGGTGGTCAAACCTGACAACATTCCATTCCAATTCCTTCAAGTCAAATTCTTTTAACAGATTCCATTTCATCCAAAAGCATTCTGCGAACCAAACGTCACCCTAGACTTAACTAGGTTAATGGGATCTTTTTAATTTCGTTAGAAGGAGGGACACGATAGGTGCAGACATGCGTACCAGGGGGTACCATCCTTGTATTTATTTTTATTTTGGGACCACTATAGGTAGAAAGTGTAAACCACAGGGACCAAATCCATATTTTACTCCTTGTAAAAATGAATAGTAATGATCCTATATATGGTTTCTTCAAGAGCAACATACGAGTAAACATACTTTGTTCATTCAACATCATTTAAATCACTTGTTAAAAGATGCAAGCGAATAATTGTTATGAATCACATTTGAGGACACGAAGAAATCAAATGGGTGGGCAGATTGGTGGTATGCTTTCGAGAGGTTAGTATCTTCTTACGATCCAGAGGATCAATTCTTTTTCTCATATCTTATTCTCCAATGCTACTATTATTTCTACTAAAATGCCTAACTTAAAAGAGTAAAATACCATTACTCTCTCTAATCACCTCATGTTGTTTCTTCCTCCTAGTGAAAGTAAATTGAACCTTTTTCTTTAGGGAGGACCCTTCTCCAGAGGTGGAAAGTGAGGAAAGGTTGCCTGCATAGTACACATATCTTCCCATGTGGAATCACATTCAGTCAAATCCTTCCATTGTAATAAGACTTCCATTTGTGATCCCGAAGGTGTAGTGATCATTCAAACTCCAAGCCAGCATTAATTTGATGAGGCAGACTAAGTGTAGCAGGGATGTCAAGCATAGCATATTTGAATTGTGAGACATGAAAGGCAGGATGAATGTGCACGATAGAAGGCAACTCCATTGTCCCATGTCTCATGCAACATTAGACGGAACAAGATGGGACTTAGTGGGACAAAAATGTAGTGTTTTTGTTCCATCAAAATACGTGGAACAAAAAAGAAGGGAATGAGACTAAATGGTTGTATTACGAAACTACCCTAATTTGATGTGTGTATATATAATATTATATATTATCTAATAAAATATGTTATATACTCATCACAAGCTCTAACGAGGAGTCTCTTTTAAAAGGCATGATCATCACA